CCCTCTTGAGCCAATGGTCTTTTATAGATGGCATAGTTTCCGAACTGCTTGACATGAATTCAGACATGTATTGTTCTTGCTAGTTTCCTCCCAATGTACATTTTCATATTCACCAGTCCTGACGTTCAATCTATCTAATGTTTCCAAGTCTTAAACTTATCACAATGTGAGATTGATACGCTCAGTAATTCTTGAATTGAAATACATTTTTTGTGTACAGGTTCAGTCCGATGATCTTTTTCTGAATAGATTATTTAATAATATAGATATTTGGATGTGAATTGGTACTTGAGGTTTTTCAACTTGAGAAATTCAAATTTGATCCTGATGTTGCTCTTATTCGTAGAGGACGCTACCTACTAATAACTCGATACTTTTTCCTGCATTCAATATGCAGCATTTATAATGATCGTAAGGATCACTTAACTGTTCGTTAACATGGAAACGCAAAAAATAAAATAAACTTACTAGCCTACTTGATACTGTGAAGGTGGGCCTTCACAATATTGTTCATTTGATTTAATTTTTCAGTAATTTTTCCGTTATTTATTGTTGTTCAAAAATTAACGAGGAAAATAGTTGTACGTTGAATAGAAACAGTTTAAATAAAAATATCTCTATAACGACTGCTTGAAGCGACTTTTGACCTGAATATATTTTTTTTTGCTATACAAACATAGATACTCAAAAAAGTTATGACTCTTCAAAAGAGAAAAGACAAGAGCGAAACTAAAATCAACTTTGAGTTTCTCATGTTAAAAAACCAGTAACCAATTTATAACCAGATATTGACATTTTTTCAAATAAATATAAATACATTTTTCATATCAGAAACGAACGCTCATTACGCTCATTCGTGATATAAGCCCGTAATTTTATGAATGGATTAAGTGATTTATCTTATAATGTTATCCAGATTCTGAAGAGGCAATAAGACAAGTTTGTTATTCCGAAACTCTGATGTCCGCCATTGAGATTGACAGTGTTTCATATAAGGGAAATATCACCTCCTTCAATTACTATATCGTGTAGAAATCCTATGAATGATATCTCATTCATTGTTCATATAGAAGTAATTGAGTCGTAAGTATTTTTTCTTTCGTGTAATTCATTGACATTTTTTCAAATGAATATAAATACATTTTTCATATCAGAAACAAACGCTCATTACGCTCATTCGTGATATAAGCCCGTAATTTTATGAATGGATTGAGTGATTTATCTTATAATGTTATCCAGATTCTGAAGAGGCAATAAGACAAGTTTGTTATTCCGAAACTCCGATGTCCGCCATTGAGATTGACAGTGTTCCATATAAGGGAAATATCACCTCCTTCAATTACTATGTCGTGTAGAAATCCTATGAATGATATCTCATTCATTGTTCATATAGAAGTAATTGAGTCGTAAGTATTTTTTCTTTCGTGTAATTCAATGTTTATATGAAAGTAGCTGTTTCGAGAGGGCTTTTCTTCCAGTTTGTGTCTGAAAGTTTCTTTTTTGTATTGAGAAGAGTTTATTCTGTAATCAATGGCTTCATTCCTTGCTTTGTCTCCCACATTTTTTTGTATAGAGATGGAGAAGTAGAAAATCAAAAAAATCACCCAGAAATCTCATGCTTATATAAACTTTTTCGAATTGACCATGCCCAAAAAATCATTCTGACACTTATCAAAAACCCTCTTTATAGTGCATATGGCAAATATGCACTATGCACATGTGCACACACATGTATTTGAGTTGTTGTTTTTCAAAGATTTCAATGATTTCAATATGATATTGAGGAACAAGTAATCAGATCAATCTGAAGAGTAGACACTTATTTAGCTTTAGAGTCGTGAAGTGTTATTTTTTCACTCTTCTTCACTTTTTGGAAAGAAAAGTAGTTTCTTATAGTCATGTGAGTATATATAATGAAGCAGGTGTTGCAGAATTGTGGAACAGAAAAAAAGCATTGTGAAACATTATTTTTAAGTATATTGTGTTATACTCCCTCCTTTTGCATGTTTTAGTGATCAAAACTGATTGAAATAAAGAAAATTTATCGAATTGATTAATTTAAAAATGAAATTACTACCATAGACTGTAAACAATGTACAGGGTTTTTATTAAACGTGCGGCAAAAAATTGAAGAATTATTACTTGGACTATTCTAAGGATATTTTGTCCTTTGGTGATTTTCGATTAGGCGCTTTCTTTCGAATTAACGTGGCGAATAAGAGCTTGGACAATAACAATTTTTGTAATAACGTAGCCATAATAAAAGTATAGCGTACTACACTGGACCTACCCAGTAATAAAAAATCTACCAATTCTATTGGTACCTATCAACAACATTCTGATAACTACAAACGGCTGCACATATTCAATTTGAATAGTATATCTCTTGTGATCCTGGTGTTTTTGAAAGAGTTCGAGAGTCGGTGAAGAGAAGATTGGATTCTTGCATCTGAGCGGGGGGTAGTCATTTTCAACAGTTCTTCTAGATTAAGAAACATTACATGTAATTTTTGGTAATAAATTGTTATTGTAGAAATTCTAAATTCTTTTTTGCTCCGTATCTTCGAAACAAAGATCCCTATCAAAAATCATCAAAGGACAAAATTTCTTTAGAATAGTCCAAGGAATAGTCTTTTAAATTTTTGCCGCATGTTTAATAAACACCCTGTATAATCGAAACTACAAGACTGAGTAAGTCTTGAACTATTTAGTAAGTTCGGACAAAATACGTAATCCATGACACATTCAGCATTATGAGCCATGTTTACTTTCGCATTTTCCAACATGGTATACAATTCATGATTTATCGTAATCTTTTGTTAGTTTTCGGAGTTTCATACTGCTCTGAATAGACGAAGGACACGTAGAAAAACACAAGTGGAATACTGTAACAGGGTCGGATTGAGATCAGGAAATTAAAAATCTTTTTAATTAATAGATATTTACGATGACTCACAATTTTTTTATATATTTTTTTACTGAATGTTCCTATCACGTTGATTTCTAATGATAGACTGAATGACATGAGAAAAAAAATATCATTTTTGAAATAATTCATATTATTATAAAAACAATTTTGTTTTTTTCCTTATATACTTGAATATGTTGCTGCAATATTCAAATTCAATTTAAACGATAAAAATAGATAATCTAGTAAATATTTTACATGTTTGTGTCAAATACACGTAATAGCAAAATATTATACTTATGAAACTACATCATAATTCATAATTTTTTATTATGGGAAATATTGATTACGTTTTGTAGTTTTTCTGTTCATGAGTACGTGATATACAAAATGGGAAAGAAAAAGCGATTTCTATCGAATTCAATATACGTTCCAGTTAGTATATCTAGTGCCAATAAATTTGTTTGTTTTTTTCCAATATGTATGGATTTATCTCAAAGATGAAAACTAAATTTAATTTCTGAGATGGCTAGGACAATTTATGACAATTCAAAATAAATTCAAAACAAATTTAATTATCGTAATGAGATTTTGAGCCGTAATAAATTGCCAGTTATTTTACTATAAACCTATCTCCCCGTTAAGGTATCGAATATGAAATCTGAAGTTTTCACGGATAGGAATATGCTGAAATGGTTTTTCCGGGTATTTGATCCGTGTATGTGATATTATCTATAATTTCACCTCATGGTGAAATTAGAGATAATATCACATACAAATTTTACTTGAACCCAATGCGTACAAATGGAAAGTTTCATCGAAAACACTTTTCTTAGTTGGTTAGCGAAACGCGCGTCGATGTCGAGAGTTGGTATTTTTGTTCCGGTGTGGGAAAAGTATTTTCCATGAATTAATTTCAAGACAGATGTTCCAATCAATCTCCCTGTCAAAGGAAAAGTTACTCCTGCTGGTCCCGGAAATTTGGTAGATGTTTGTAGATGTTTGTAAATGTTTGTAGTGTATTTGTTCCTAATCGTAACTATAGTTACGAGATATTGTCAATCCTTTTTTTGGCTTCCTGGTTCTTTATTATCATACAAAGAATTGAAAACTTTCGGCGAAAAGAAAAAATGGACTAATATCATCATTGAATTAGAGATATGTGTAGATCAACCTAATTTCTTTCCAATACAAACCGAAGGGATCATCTGGAAAAACTACTTTTCTCCACGAATAATTAATATCACAATAATCACTTATTTAGACGTTTTGTAATCTTTACAATGGAAAATAAGAACACAAAACGAAAAGAGTTTGGTTTTCAAAACATTATTGTCCTCAAATAATACACATTCGAATGAATCCATTTTTGGGATTGTTAAATTGTATTTTTACGTTTTCAATTTCAGGTATCACTTATCAATGTGTTTCTTTGAAAGAACACAATTGTTTCATCTGTTGTGTTCATGTCTGAACCTCTGCCATCGTATCATACTGGTACTAAATAATTTTTCGAAGGCATTGTAAATGTTCTTGCAGAAAAAATTTCTTGATTCATCTATTCAGTCATTGAAATTAGATAGATATTTAACTTCAATAAGTAGAATTTGAAACCTCTGTTGTTAAATAAATCTTTGAAAACACTTTTCCAGAACAAAAATACTGGCTCCTAACCTAACCTTAAGTCATCAGTCTCCTGATGCTGCTAACTCTCCTGATGTTGCTTACTAGATTATTGAAATGCACGTCGAGAGACAGTATTTTTGGCGGTAAAAGAGTTTTCAAAAGGTTTAACTTCAAACATTTGAAGTTATTATTATTTAGTAAATGAGTCCGGTCCTGATGAAAAACATGAATAATATCTTATAGGTGTGCCTTACCTGCCGATACCGCTTATCACTAGCGCGTTAAACGGTGTGTGCAGTACAGCGCGCGATATGTGATAACACCACACCGATCTTTGCTTTGGGCGGTACAAAATCGTGCTTTCTTGGTTATAATTTCGAACGTCCATTGATTTCCGCTCGGCTTTCTTAAGATAAGTGTTTACTTTGTCGGGTTTACTAAAGTCGCGCTTTATTTGTGTTCGCAGGCCGCTAAGAGTTCAACAGAGTCGCCAGAGATTCCAGCGGAAGAGACCAAAAAGAAACCGAAACCAAAATTACCAATACCCAAAAAACCGAAAGTTGCGGAAATTTCAAGCATTGAAGGGAAGCAATTTGGCGGATCGGACTTCATAAACCCCGATGACATAATCCATCACGCCAATGGAAAAGTTTATTTCAAGAATAAATGCAAATTATGTAATTTCAAGACCGCCTGGGACACGGAAATGGCCAAACATGAAAAGAAAGCACACAACATCGACAGAGAGGAGAACATACAGCCGGTGATCAAGAAACCTCCGAGACCAATACCAAATCTCATTCCCATTCCTCCCCAGATGTCCCTTCTGAAGTCAAACCAACCAAGACCAGACTACCAGTCGAAAACAGTCGAACTTCCAAAACCCAGTGAACCAATCATGAGCCAAAAGGATATTAACGACATTTGTGCGAAATCCTCTAACAGTGTACTCAAAGACTTCGCTTCATTGTTCAGTGCTGAAGACGTATTCAAATCGTCTGCATCAAAGGTACCTGATCTGATACCAGCATCCATGTACAATAATTTATCGTCGCCGAAAAGTGATCGGCTAACTGAAGTATTGAAACAAAAGAATGCTTCTTTCTTCGACAGCCTCAGAGAAAAGTTGGAGCTAGGTACCGGAGGAAGTTGCAATCTAACCTGTAACGTGTGCGGACATGAAAGCAAATGTCTCACGGAACATGCTAAACACCAAAAATCGTGCGGAATCCAAACGGGGAAAGTCCAAAGCGTGATTCCAATGCACAACATCAGTTCCTCACGGTGTCAGTTTTGCAGACAAAGGTGCAAGTCTAGCACGGACCTATACAATCATCTCCAAATGTGCCCTGACGCACACAAGGCCCAAATGCTGACGATAAAGAAAGAGGAAATCGATTCGGAGAACGAAAGCGAGCTGACGATAAAGGAAGAACAGGTTAGCGATAACTCAGAAACTAAGCCGCACCCGATGGAAAACAAAGTGTTCGTGTGGAACGACATTCTGGTGCCAATGGACATCGAAGTGGATGACTCGAACTACGAGTACACTGAGGACAAAGTCGACGACAATGTCTCTTTGGATCTGTCCATTCGTACTCAATCGCCAATGGATAGCGAAAGCAGCTTTTTGGGCCAGGAAGTCAACAATCCCGGCAGTGTCCACCACTCACCGCTGCCCACGGGGTCCGATAAGGTGCCGACTCATGGTAACGATATATCGGTGGCTCAACACAAACGTGTCTTCAGGTGTCCACATTGCACCTTCTGGGCTTCTACGGCATCTCGTTTCCATGTTCACATTGTCGGTCACTTGAATAAGAAACCGTTTGAGTGCTCTTTGTGCGCTTACAGGTCGAATTGGCGATGGGACATCACGAAACATATCAAATTGAAGTCTGTGCGAGATCAAGCTCACGAATCTGCTAGAGTTTTGATGACAGATGAGACGGGGCGAAGGAATTATACCAAATATAATAAATACTTGACAGAGATTCCTGTGAGCGGTAATCAAACGATGGACACCAGCGGTGGTTGCGGTACCAGACCCAAGCACTACCACGAGAGGAATTCATCTCCTTCTACAAGCAAATCTGATACACCAAAACTGAACAGGGCTCCAAACAGCAACGACTTCAGTCCCTTGCTGAAGAACTCTCTGAGACCTCCACCAGCTCTAAAAACTGCCGATGGCTCGTTCTTGACTCAGTTTGCAGACAAGAAACGGCCGAGCAATGAGGGAAAGCGAACGCTATTCAAGTGCAAAAAATGCAATTTCAAGTAAGTAACATTATTTTATGTTTGCATTCATTGGATACGTGTTCTGCATTCAAGGTTTCACTTTTTGAATGCGTATCGTTATGTAATAACTTCTATTGAAATAAGCTTTATTTCAACCACGAAATATTGCAAATCAGTAATCTGGAATTGCTTTGTCGATAAGTTTTTATGGGCTACTAAGGAATGGTTAACGATATTACTCTCAACAAAGACTTTATCTTTTGCGAAAAATAAAACTTTCTGACAATGGAATTACTCATAACACTAGTTGAATTTGCTGTATCCAGATGTTGATAATTGAAAAATATTATTTATTCATCATTCATTTACGATCTCATTTATTCAAACGTCATTTCAAAGGATGAGTTTCTAAACCCAAATTTTTCATCATTCATTTACGATCTTATTTATTCAAACATCATTTCAAAGGATAAGTATCCAAACCCAAATTCATTGAGACGGGCACAAACATTAGATGGATATATTAGAATTTGCTTCTACTTATAAACATTTTCTACCAATATTGTTCTTTTATTATTAACTCAAATATATTTTTGCCGATTTGAATGAAACGAGTTGTGTTTGTTAGCAGTAAGTAACAAGCGGCTTTTTTTCATGAAATTAGATTACGGATAATAATTTCAGTGACGTCGCAGAGGTTTACCTACCTGATTGATATTTATGGAAAAAATTATTGTATCAAACTTGGAGAAAAAATTATTTTTCTCCAAGTTTGATATTTTTATCAGATTGAACAATTAATAAAAAAACGGGTTTGAAAACAAGCTTTTACACAAAAGTTCTAATTTAAAAATTTTTTCTTCAATTGTTTGATCTAGGTTATTCTGCAACATATTCAAAATCTTTCCGCGTAAGATAACCTACTTTGTAACCTCTTTACTCACAGAATAACCTAGATCAAACAACAACAAATTATTTTTATATTCTTAGTGCTTTGCTTTTAAAAAAAAAAATTATTTTTAATTTTTAAACATTTTCCGTTATTCGGAAACGAAACAAGTTAAGACATACGTTCATACACCACCTTTAATTACTACTACTACTACTATACTAATTCGTGAGACGAAAATCTATTTCTTCAGAAATGATTCGTATTCAATTAAATATTGAATAAGGGAATGGGAATCTTGGCATTTGTACTTTCGTCACGAGAATTGAAAATTACCACTATACGTTTTACGTCGCTAAAGGCGTAATTAGTTGTGGACATACTCTCATCGAAAACTATTTTTTTACAATGGAAACTTTAATACCTAGTATGTAATACTAGCTATATATAGGTATACAGTTCTCCCTGAATCGTATAGGTATACACATAATTTTACCACTTCATTCGTTCTCTCTCTCTCTCTCTCTCTCTCTCTCTCTTCTCTCTCTCATGAAACAAGTGAGGTAACGGATGAAGGGTGCAGTAGGGAGAGTATAAAATAGAATATTTAATGAGTAGGAGGAGTGGGACACTATTAATTCATACCAATTTCTTTTCCATTTATCTATATTGAAACCTATAGTATTTTTATCATTCACAAGGTCTTGCAAAGTAATGTAAGTTGATCAACTTTCAGTACCCACTAAAGAATAACACTGAAACACTGATATAGAAATACTCCTTCGGTATCCCTACAACGTTTCATGGGAACTTTCTTCTAATTTTTGTAATATTTCTATGTTTTCATTTGTCCATCTCTATTCAAAAAATTGTGGAAAACCTACAAAGAAAAGAATAAAGTAATGGCTCAAAATAAATACGTTTGTTTTGTAAAAAAAATCAGGTCGACTTTATAGACACCACTGAGATAATGATATCAGTGTTCTCCGGTCTCTGAAATTTTCCCCTATTCTTGAAATTCAAGAAGTAACACCGATGAGCAAGCCGATAGAATGATCGTAATTCCTTGGGTGTGCGGTAGAATTTCACTTCACATATACTATATCAGATGAATACACTGCTGTAGTTGCAGTTGCCACAGAATAAGGAAATTTCAAGAATATATCGCGAAGAACATCCCAAGAACATGCTCGATCGTTAAGAACTTAGAAAATTACTGGACAAGGGTGAATTAACTCTATGCTGGGTGTTATAGCCAAGGAAAAACAGCATGAGATTGATTAACATGGATCATTTCCATATGTAGGCTCAGAACCAGCTGTGGAGGTAACAAAACCTTTGGTACTGAACCAGATTGGAAATAAAGACATAAACATAAAGAGTACTGGAAAAATATACCCAGTAATGCACAAAAGATGGCTTCCAAGTATCAGGAAAAAACACTTCCTAATTGAATAGCATTATGGCATTATTGAAGAGCGTTTTATATTGAAATTTTTCAGGTCGTTGCCAAACTTAATCCATCATGTTTCGTTAATTTCCTGGAAAACAACTCCACTCAACACTAGTTATTGTGTGAGTTGTTCAGCTCTAGTATCAGTTGTATACACCATTCGAGAACTAGACATTCTATCTATAGAATGAAAAAAAAATCGCACTATAGAACATTGTAAAATTTGATACTCATCAATTTCTCTCTCACCACTTCTAATTCGCCATCTAAGTATTTTTCGTTGGTTCTCCAGCTTTATACTAATCAAAAGCCTAAATATTGTAGTCGATATGAACTTCTAATTCTTTATCAAAATTTACAGAGACGCATCTAGAGATATTCTGCTGCAGCATGTGAAGGATCACTACCGTGTTCAACAACTGAGCGGAGCAGAAGCATCAACAAGCGAACAGGATATGATAAGGGGTACGAGTCCTGATAAAGATGAGGCAAGTGTAAATAACCTAACGGGGGGGAAGGGAGGCCCGGCACCCTTCCGTTGCGGTCATTGTAACCAGGTATCTAACTGGAAGCATGTAATTCAGGTACTAACCTTACTAACCGATTAACTATCATTTTTCTCACTGGCACAATCGGGAGGGAAGTTAGGAAATATTCTTGATCAAATTTCTTCACAAAATTATGGGTTTCGGTTTTTCATAAGTAATATGTGGAATTGAGACAACTCATAATGAACAGCTCTCAACTTTTTCATAAGACAAAAAAGGTCACTTTGATTGTGATTCTATGTGTTTATTAATGTGATGAAATGATTTCTGATTTAAAAATCGTTGTGAAATAAAAGTAAAGCAATGATCAATTTTTAATTATGAAAAGTAGGACAAGTCTTCATATCGAGAGCTTTTTTATCTATTCAAAAACAAAAATTGTGACTCAAAACTATTTTTCAGCTTTTCATAGTTTTTTTGCTTCAATATTTCAAGACAATTATTGTTATTCAGTCGTCTTTTATTGACTTATCTGGTAGTCAGGTAAATCTGATGACTAAAAATATTATTTCAACAAGCTATATATTATAAACTATTAAGTATTGGTCCACCATCAGTATTCATAATATTATCATGTTGACTTATTTCTAAGCTCCCAAACGCATCTAAATGCCTGTTGTTGTTAACTTGTCCAACTAATTTTAATGAAAAGAATGGTTTTGTTGCAAAACATGATGGGTGACTGCTGATTTTTCTGGTCTTTCATATTTTAGATTTACGGTAAGTGTTTTTTTATATCTTATGTTAATAGACCTTTTAGTTTTGCAACAAAACCTTTTCATAGACTTCAGTTCATTGAAATTAGTTAGACAAGTTAACAACAAAAGGCATCCAAATGCCTATGAGAGCTTAGAAATAAGTCAATAATATATGACTGACGATGGTGGACCAATACCTAATAGTTTACTATATAGCTTGTTGAAATGATATATTTAGTCATCAGATTTACCTGACTAGCAGATAAGGCAATATTGTGAAATCATTTTTAACACAATTAAGACGCAGGTACCTACCAGGTACCTGGAATAAATAAGGACAACATGGTATGTAGATTTAGTTCAATCTTCCTCGTGAAGATGATCACTTGGTGATTGAAACACGTGTCGAGGTGTTAAAAATAGCAGTGTGATGTTGTGATACAACTCCACTGTTACTACACCAAAGGTTCCAAACAGTGCATCACAAGTTCATTAGGTTAGTCCTTTGAAACCACAATATTCAAATCCAAATTTAAACTTTCTGCTTTCTTCCTCTGATTAAATTTCTAATCTTCATACTACAGCTTTTTATTTTATTGTTATTATAATGTGATAATCAATATGTGCAGTCTGTTTCATTGATTGATTAGAATTTGAATGAATCCTAAGCAAGCACTTTTCCCAATCACCAAAAATGCAATACTCTTCTCGACGCACGTTTCACCAGCTAAGTTGGCGTCTTCAGGAGATGAAGAAAATTCTGCTGAAGACGTCAACTTGGTTTGTGAAATTAATACTTGGATTTTAATACAGCTTCTTCTATTCGAAAATGAATTAGTTCAGATAAACCAATGAATCACTTGCAGACAGAACTTTGTGGGTATCGACTGTTGATCAGAACTATCAATGAAGCTCATCCTAAAATATCAATCGTTACATACAAATGTACAATTAATTCCCGACCTGATTGTGCCAACGCTTGTTTTCATCAAAACGCTTCATTAGTTTATGTAAAAAGTCCAGACTTTTTTCAAAGTCACAAGGACATTTTGTAAATTACTTGTATCGAACACCGTTTAGTAGTGATTATTTTAATGACCAACTGCTGACGTAAACCAATTGTATTTTGATCATAAGTTAGTGATCGCAATACTAAAGGTTTTTGTCTGTACTTGGATACAGTGAGACGTTTTACTCAAAAATTTCAGCTTGATATTTAAAATATGGAAACATCTCAAAATCTTTGCACATTATGCTACTTGTTCAATACAGAAACTAACACATTACTTTAATATTCTGCTGAACATAATCTAACGGAATAACAGGGTTGTAAATTTTGGATATTCATGCTTCCACTTCAAATTTGAATTTAAAGAACACAAAACTTCAAAAATAAGGAAGAATGAAAGGTGATTTTTGTATATCAGAATACCTCGAATAAGTGGACTTGACGATTATTCTTATGAAGACGCCATCTATGAGATTGATAAAAAACCCAAAACCTGCCATTCAAAAATAAATGCGGGTTCCAACGGTGGTCCTTGCAATCAATATTGATGAAAATTTATACCCATCCTATGAACTTTTTTAATTCATATTCATTTTATCAGTGGTACTTCAACAAGGGCAATCCTGAGTAAGAACTGAAGATAACAGTCCACTTCATAAATACGCCATCTATTAGATCTACAGAAAACTGTAACTTAAAAAATAAAAAAAAGTCCTGTCCTTGGGACCTTTCAAGTTGAGCTAAGTCATGGGAGTTTTTCAGGAATGGATTTGATAAAAAGTAAAATTACCACCTTTCCGTTTCTCACACAAATCTCTAGTTGGTTGTCCCTTGGAAAAAAATTTTTGAACGTACAAAAATGCCGTTAACTATCATTATTTCTTGATTTCATATTTGTAGAAATAGGACAAAACACACATTTTCATTATAGTATGTAAAAAGCGTTTGAAAAAAAAATATAATGAAAGTCGAGTGGAGTCGAATATTTTATTTTTTGTGAAACTAATAAACTCGTCCTTCAGCAAATGTTAAATATAGACTAATGAAGCGTTTATGCATGTGCATGTCTTTTTTCAGAACCATTATTACTAACGTCTAGAGGTTTATATTCTTGTGAATATATTTATTGTTATCATAGACAACTCCAACCTGACTTATCAATTTTCATTCTATTAACGAAAATAACAAGTCTGTAAGCAAATAGTCTTGACTTGTAAATTTCAAATATTCTGTAATCAACTTTCGGATAACAAAGGCCTTTTTTTTTAATCACCTCCGTTGATAACATGTAGAATTTCATGTTCAGCTTTAAAATGGTTTAGAATTCAGGAAACAGTAGATTCCTTTTTTTACACTGGCACTACGTCACTCTCATACTAATAATTCATCAAATGTTTCAAAAGAATAATGTTAAACAACTTCCTCAGTTACGAACATTAAATTATGCTTAGTTAAAATTAAGGTATTTAGACATAAGTGTGGTTATACAAATGTTTCAAAAGAATAATTGTAAACAACTTCCTCAGTTACGAACATTAAATTATGCTTAGTTAAAATTAAGGTATTTAGACATAAGTGTGGTTTAAAAAAAAAGTTATTATGAGCGTAGGGTAATTTAGAAATAGATTCGAATGCATAAATTAAATACTCAACTACTTTTTGAAACTTTTCCAAAACAGTGGAAAGTGTGTAACGTTTTCATTCAGATACAAATCGGAAGTAAAACCCCTTTAAAACATAATTTTTTCGCATTCAATTTGTCCACCAAATGATATGAATATGAATGTTCTCTATTGTGCTTTTGGTATTTGAAAAAAGAAAAACAATAGTTGTAAAAGTCTTTTTTTCGATTTGTATATGGAAAAAACATTTACTTTTTTTTCCATTATTTATATTGTTAACGAAAAAGTAAAACGCAAAACAACTTAAAGTTTGATTTACCTTGAGGTGTTCCAATTTTGTCACATTTACTTCATATTAACGTAACTCTAATTTTAAAATTTAATATTTTTCACATTGGACGGACATGCTCTTTGAGTCTCAATAGATGTCTCCTAACAACCTGAAATATCTGCCCCAAAAGAAACTATACCTCAGTATAGTGCCTTTGCTAATTGAATAGAAGATTGACTATGCAAATTATAAGTTTGGTATCTTTCTCCGTATGTCTAATTTTAATTTTCAAAGTCTGTACATTGTGCGGCCTTGGGATCAAGAAAACTATTATACCAATTATTTTTGTTATAATTATCCACTTGTGAACAGGTACACAGATGACTTCATATATTCTATAGTTTGTACAATTATGAAAGCTATCACTAAAGTTGATTCGCCTGCTTCTTTGAAGAATTCAATTTTACACTATACACTGTTTCTAATTAAGAATCCTGTGGAGCACTTTATGTTTTTACGCTTTTTATGTTCAAAGATGTATCTGAATTTCAATTTTAATATATATTTTTTTTTACAGAGACACTGCAGATTGAAACACAGTGGAGATATCCGAGTGGTAAGCAACAAAAATGGTCAAGTAAAAATTGAAGTTGAAGAATTAACCGACGAACCAGACCACATTGACATTTCTCAGGAAGGCACATTCAAATGCACTTTCTGTCCGTTTTCTAATGATGACAACATGGAGTTTGAACAACATTTGGCGGGACATATACCAGCAACTAATAGTATTTTGAAATGTTATTACTGCAAGTATTTCGTCTCTAAGAAAGAAGACATGTACGATCATCTCCGGTTACATGGAATAAATGATCCTGAAGAATTCCTAGAGAAGTTAGCATCAGAAAAAGCTGCAAATGATAGTGATGGAAAGAAGTTCAGGTGTGTGACCTGTCCTTATGTTACCAACTCCAAGTCGCAATTTACCTACCACAAGCAGTTTCATAAGCCAAGGGGTGGCCAGTATACTTGCTCACACTGCTCTTATAATGTAAGCAAGCGACATTTGCTTCACCAGCACCTGAAGGTTCATGGCATCAATGTAGCTTCCCACAAGCAGAATGGTGAAGCAATGTACTTGGATGAAATAACAGATGAAATTGAAGAAGTTCCACAGATACCATTCCCCATTGATCTTCAAAATTTTCCGGACATACCTTTGGTCTGGGTATCGAAAAATGGAAAATTCTCCAAAATGTTCAAGTGCCGCTATTGTCCCCATGTCAACTTGCGGAAAGTTAATATACAAGAACACGAGAAGATGCATAGTATTCGAGAAAAGAATCCAAATGCTACTAGGTTAAGTGACATTGAACACAGGTGTACGGAATGCAACTATGTCTGCAATAATGCAGGTGTGTTATCATCACACTCGAAAGTACATCAGGGTTTATACGGTAGTGTTCACCGCTTGGTAGATCCATCCAAAACTGACGAAGAACAAATAAAAGAGCTTAGTAGGAGTACCGGTATCCATCCTGTTTCGGAGAATACCTCCCAAGACGATTCTGAAGCTGTTGATTCCCCTGTAATGGAAACAGATGAAATTGATAGCTCTTCAGGTTCTGGATCTATTTTGTACTTTTGCAAAGAATGTCCGGCAAGATTTTTGAAAGAAACTGAGTTCGGTATTCACAAAAGGTTCCACGGATCAAGGTTATTTTATAAATGTGATCACTGCAGTTACACCTCTAGAGAAAGACCTCATTTAACCTCCCATTCCAAGGTACATACAAGTGAATACCAAGATCGAACCAAAACTCTACAAAACATGTATCTGACGAGTTCCAACTATTCTCAACCAAAGATTCATGTTGGAAAAACCATAGACTGTGAACCAGTTTGGGTTGTTGTTGAAAACAGCAAGAGTAACCATATGGAAATGAGTACTTTATGTAGCATATTAAGTAAGCCCGTGAAATCTACACAGAATGTGCCATTATCTGGAACAGACTTGTTTCTTCAAAAATCGGAGGCTCAACAGAAACAAGCCGCTGAGTTGAACAGAGAGCCTCCTTCACCCCCTCCGCCCAAATTGTTGGATCTGGATATCAAAGAGTTAATGCATGGAAATCCAGATTTCATCTACCAACCCTACTTGAAAAACGGCCGTTTGAAAGAGAAGAGATACAAGTGCCATATGTGCCCCACTGCATTCGAAAAACGAGAACAGTACAGAGTTCATTTGGGTCTCCATGGTTCAAAGCAACGTTACAAATGTGATTACTGTGATTATTCAGTAAAGTATTACGCTAATTATGTACAACACTTAAAGAAACATAAGATGAATGCTGATGCACATGCTGCCAGACGTTCAAGTGACGAAGCAGAGTTAGAAATTGACGAAAGTTCAGAAGTTACCAATGAAGTTATTCCTTGTGGTTCTCGAGTAGAAGACACTAAACCAGGTGTAGCTGACCAGCAAGTTGCCAATCTGATACATCAGCGACAAGCCGGTCAGGTCAAAGATCCCATTGTTGAGGAGAAGAAGATTTTCTGGTGTCCGAGCTGCCCGTACACAAGCAGCAGAAAAGACGCAGTCGACAATCACCAAAAGCGGCACGTGTGCGTTTCAGGTGTGAAATGTACTTATACTTGCGAACACTGTGATTATTCTGTGCCCCAAAGTCACTTCTTGAGAGAACATAACAAACTTCATTTCATGCCAAATAAAGTGAACCAAGTGGAAGGTTTCATGAGTTGTGATAATATAAAGTTAACATCAAACCAAATCAATGAGGCCAGTAGTTCAGACGAAGACAGCATCGATGATAAAAGATTAATTTTTGAGGAACATGGGTCCAAATTTACCGAAAAACTTTTTCAACCTCAATTAACTGCTGACGTCGCAGAACGTTTCAACAATAATGAAGGTGAAAAACAATTTGTCAATATACAAACTGGTGAAATAGTTGATAGAAATGTCATTAGTGATATGCAATCCTCTCAGATGACAATCAAAGAGGAGTGTAAAATGGAAGTAATTCAGTCAAACTTCTAGTGATAATTATAAATTTATTATATCTTATTTATCAGAAATTTACTTAAAATTAATTAATGAATTGAATTATCGTGTTAACAATGCCTTAGTCATAGAGTATTTTTACAAAGTATTTTCACACGATGGTAGTTAAAAATTTAATACTGTGTAGTATTATCAACCATTTAATACCATATTAGATGTACATATTTTGTTTTGTTAAGAAGTATTAATTATTATTTTCATGGGGTTTAATGCCAAAGCATTCAATGCCAAAATTTGCCATAACTTTATTGTTGTTTTTGTTTTGCAGATGAGAAAATATATGAATTACAAACCAATTGTTAATTCAGTTTCAAGTTCATCCCAAACCTCATTGATTTTGCCTTTTCTAGAAGGTCTAGACTTCATTCTGAAAAGAGACAATTTTTCTCGTGTAAAACAGTCACAAATGCAGTTTCATTTATTTACTTGATAGAATAATTATTTCTAACAGCTGAGTTGATAATAAATTCAATATACATTGTACATTATTTTTTTAAGAAATTTAATTTCAAAGTGTATATATTTGAAAAGAGCGCCAGTTTTGGCGAACCTAATACGTAATATTTCATCAAATTGTTTAACGCTCAGAAAGACCATAATATATTAACGATGTAACCAATACTTCAGTACTTACTTTTTCTAATACCACTAATATATGAAGTGGAATTAGGTGTTCATAAACACTAGAGAAATGAATAACATCCCGTCTATCAACTCATACCTTTAATATGGTTTCATTAACTTTCATTAAATCTAATTACAAATTACCACCTAAATAGAGAAGTTATAGGGCAAACTCAAGTATAGGTTTAAAAAAATGTTTAGTTTACTTCAAGTCATTTTTTCAAATAATGAATTCTCTATCCAAGTTAGATTAAAATTTCCTAGAAGGGTATCAGCAAATGAATAAATATTGATGATATGTAGTTTAGGTTAACCCATTACAAGGCATTCATACATTCTTCAAAGAATATTACTAAACATGTTATATCACATTAGGGGTGACCTATGTTCTCTAACAGCCCTATTTACATCATATGAAGAGAATTGGATAGTCGAAAAAGTCAGTGCATACCATCTCTGTTTGGAAGATGATAAAACAGCAGAGCACACACTCTGAACCTTTCGAGAGTTTCAATTTTACCGTCTCATCTCAATAGGCTCATCTGAATGCGTTTGTTATGAGGCTGGACTTATTTGGCCCAATATTATGTAAGAAAGTGAATAATGCGGTGTTTGGAATGAGAACGTTGTTGCTGCACATATATCTCATTCCGCGTTTTTGTATTTTTAACTTTTCAAAGGCATCTAAGAAGAGTTTTTTCAACCTCTTCAAATTTGAAACAATCTATTGCTACAGAGCGCAATCAGGTGGTGGTACTGCTGTTTTTTCCAGAAAGGTTGACTGATTAACAGGATCAATCACTCTTAGAAAAAAAAATTCTTGCAAGTGTTTCGAGTTTAATTAATGCAAAACGTAAAAATACATTTTTGTATGATGGAATTGGCTGGTACCTGATGAAATTCCATAACTTATCCAAGTAGCACTTAACTATTGGGGAAGATTTCCAGTAGGCAGTTCACAAAACTGAATCAGGTTTCACTATACAATAAGTTTATCAACTGTTTTCATAAAACAACTACTTCTCTAGAGTATGTAAACTCTTGATAAAGTTATTGTATAGAGAAACAACTGTTGCGATTTTTCAAACTGTCTATAGTCGGAATCTCACAATAAAGTGTTACTTGAATAAATACATTTTTAATAAAACTACTTGCCGAAAAGAAGTTTTTTCATAAGGACAATATAACTTTTAACAATTAGACAATTAAATACATAATACGCTATTCAAGACAAAAACTACACAATACTTAAATCAAACGAAGAGCTTTATCTAGAATTTTGATGAAGTTTTGCCTGTTTTTTTGATGTAGGAAAGAACCAGAAAAAAAAAGACTTTTTTTCGGTATTTTACTGATTGAATTGAAATATGCAGTATCAAGACCATTGACTCCTTGTAGCATTGACACTATCATGTTTGAGGATATGTATAATTTCGCTCAGAAGTCTTTTTTATATATATGATTAAACATCAGGAATGTTGAATTGTATGTCTGCGGTCTCTCAGATTTTTGTTTTTGGAAAAAAAATTCCAGATGTATTTTCATTTGAATATATATCTCTGAAGCTAATTTACTTTCCACTTATTCATTCGAAATTATAGTGTTTAATCAGCATATGGAGAACTGCTTCAAATACAATTTTGAAACCACTGAGAAGTTTACAAAATGAGGCCCTTAAAATGTATTCATCTTCTTTTCTGAGAACCGACTAAAAATCGATGGACAGCAAACGGTTTACTCAACATCAATTCTGTTTATAAATCAAAAGTATGCATTTTTCTGCAGTTTTGAAGAATAGAAAAAATTACACTTCAAAATTTATAGAAATGTACTCGTTTAAAAAACAGAAGAGCTCAATAATCTGTCAAAAAAGTCTCAAATCTGCATTTTTTTCAGAAAATCCATTTTAAAAAAGGAATAAGTGCCTATAATTAATTCACAAAAAAATCTGAACTATGATATCCAATGAATTTTGTATTGACAAAAGAAAATTCCTTATTTGTCAATATTCATAAAAGAGTTGTTAACTGTACATATTTCCTAAGAAAGAAAAAATTTGTACACCTGTCACATATCTATATATTGTGGTGAAAATCTATTATTTCTATAATTAGGGAAGCAGAAAAATTCAGTGAATATATCTTTAATTAGATTATGAAATAATTTGTAAATGTTCAAAAGAGGCAAAGAAATCATAAATGAACCTCCCTTACACTTCAATTGTTCACTTTGAAAAAAGAAATATCGTCTCTAAACGACTTTCAAAGGTTGTTTCCAAGTAACTCAGAATATATTTAACCCAGACCAAAGAAAAGTCATATATTTTAATGAAGCGAAGAAATTCGGATGAAAATAAGTCAGTATCAATGATATGTTTCCTAGATATTCTTTAATATTCCTAAAATAAATAGATAGCCATGAAATCAGACTCAAATGGCATTTGGATGAGAGATCTGATGATTATAAACCAATATAATTTTAGTGTGCTGATGGTAAGTTTATTAAAATACTGAAAATGTGTTGAACATTTGTTCTGAAAGTCAAATCAGACTGTTTTACAGTAGAAGCATATTAAAAATGCATTCATTTTTATAATCCTTGGCGGATCTATATTGCTTTTTTTCAACCTATTTTGAGTAACAGATTTGTATTTGTTAAAAGAAAATATGGCACACGAAAAGACAGGTCAAAGATCCCATTGTTGAGGAGAAGAAGATTTTCTGGTGTCCGAGCTGCCCGTACACAAGCAGCAGAAAAGACGCAGTCGACAATCACCAAAAGCGGCACGTGTGCGTTTCAGGTGTGAAATGTACTTATACTTGCGAACACTGTGATTATTCTGTGCCCCAAAGTCACTTCTTGAGAGAACATAACAAACTTCATTTCATGCCAAATAAAGTGAACCAAGTGGAAGGTTTCATGAGTTGTGATAATATAAAGTTAACATCAAACCAAATCAATGAGGCCAGTAGTTCAGACGAAGACAGCATCGATGATAAAAGATTAATTTTTGAGGAACATGGGTCCAAATTTACCGAAAAATTTTTTCAACCTCAATTAACTGCTGACGTCGCAGAACGTTTCAACAATAATGAAGGTGAAAAACAATTTGTCAATATACAAACTGGTGAAATAGTTGATAGAAATGTCATTAGTGATATGCAATCCTCTCAGATGACAATCAAAGAGGAGTGTAAAATGGAAGTAATTCAGTCAAACTTCTAGTGATAATTATAAATTTATTATATCTTATTTATCAGAAATTTACTTAAAATTAATTAATGAATTGAATTATCGTGTTAACAATGCCTTAGTCATAGAGTATTTTTACAAAGTATTTTCACACGATGGTAGTTAAAAATTTAATACTGTGTAGTATTATCAACCATTTAATACCATATTAGATGTACATATTTTGTTTTGTTAAGAAGTATTAATTATTATTTTCATGGGGTTTAATGCCAAAGCATTCAATGCCAAAATTTGCCATAACTTTATTGTTGTTTTTGTTTTGCAGATGAGAAAATATATGAATTACAAACCAATTGTTAATTCAGTTTCAAGTTCATCCCAAACCTCATTGATTTTGCCTTTTCTAGAAGGTCTAGACTTCATTCTGAAAAGAGACAATTTTTCTCGTGTAAAACAGTCACAAATGCAGTTTCATTTATTTACTTGATAGAATAATTATTTCTAACAGCTGAGTTGATAATAAATTCAATATACATTGTACATTATTTTTTTAAGAAATTTAATTTCAAAGTGTATATATTTGAAAAGAGCGCCAGTTTTGGCGAACCTAATACGTAATATTTCATCAAATTGTTTAACGCTCAGAAAGACCATAATATATTAACGATGTAACCAATACTTCAGTACTTACTTTTTCTAATACCACTAATATATGAAGTGGAATTAGGTGTTCATAAACACTAGAGAAATGAATAACATCCCGTCTATCAACTCATACCTTTAATATGGTTTCATTAACTTTCATTAAATCTAATTACAAATTACCACCTAAATAGAGAAGTTATAGGGCAAACTCAAGTATAGGTTTAAAAAAATGTTTAGTTTACTTCAAGTCATTTTTTCAAATAATGAATTCTCTATCCAAGTTAGATTAAAATTTCCTAGAAGGGTATCAGCAAATGAATAAATATTGATGATATGTAGTTTAGGTTAACCCATTACAAGGCATTCATACATTCTTCAAAGAATATTACTAAACATGTTATATCACATTAGGGGTGACCTATGTTCTCTAACAGCCCTATTTACATCATATGTATATCTTTCTGCGACTGAAACATTTTTTATTTGTCTTAAGTTCATATTTTGTACCCTCTAAAATAATGTGCTTTACATATAATTGTTTATTACACACATCACATGTAAGTTTATCACTTCGGTCACTTCGTTTGATAAGGTATTCATGGATGTAATTCCTGGAAGAGAATTTTATGTGCCAGTACTGATTTCATTCGGTACTGTAATTTTTAGATTTGTGAGCCATGGATGACTTGTATAGCATAGAAAAAAAATTGTTCCAGGGGGGGGGGCAANTTGAAAACAGAAATTTCGTGCTCTGATTGGTTGTCCGTAAGGAATAGTTCCGCAAGAGATGAAACATGACCATCTCTTACGTTAAGGATACGTTGTTGCGTTTGCGGAGTAGCATTTATAAATGACAGCATGTTAATCTGAACCTTTATGTTTTTACGGTACGGTGGGCGTTAGCGGTACGGTTGCGTTACTTAAACTATAAATCAGCCTTAAGACTTCTGACCAAAACATGTTTTGAATTTATTGTGTTCAAAAACTATTGCATTTCAGTTTGCTCTTCATTACACTTCCACAAATGACAAATTCTCTATTGATTCGTCTATGTTTAGGTATAAGTTATACACCAAAAAGACAGTAAGAAACCTATGAATTTATATTTATAAACTGCCGTTTTTATAATCAACGTCAAATTTTTGCAAACCTAGAAAATTATGACAAATCTACTGACTCATTCGTACAATTACAATAAAAGAAAACACTAACTGGGAATTCAAAATCATAGCCAACTATATTATAATTATTAAACTGCAAATTATTTTTATGGTGTACAAAACAAATTAAAACATACCATGCAAAGTGGTTCATTTCATATGATGGGATACATATATACCTACAAGTGATTGAAAAAAATACCTAGTAGATACTATTTATTATACATTATGAAAAGTACTTATTCAAAATGTGCATGTTGAAGAGCTGAAGTTCATGATGTTTCTTAGGAATAATAATACTAGAATTATTTTTATAATACATAGGTACATAGAATACTTTGTGAATCTAATTAATAAAAATATTTATACATATACAGTTAGTATGAAAGTACATGAATTCAACTGTGACGCAGTTCGAATGATTAAGGAGTCACTTATCCAGAAGTGTCAAATATTCGAAAAGCTTGAAGAATTTGAGCTAGCAGACAATCAAAATATCACATTTTTTACTTTCTGTTTCATAAATGTTTACACACAAATTAATATTATATTACATAATTGATACGTAAAACAGTCTTTAAAGCCTAGGTTTATTTATTCTCATCAACCTCCATCTCTTGACCCTTCAGTGAAGAGCCTGGGGTTTTGACCTCGGATCTCACAGATCGTGAAATAGATGTATTTTATAAAACCATCTCGAGGCAAAGTTGAACAACAATTATTTTCATCAAAAAGTTTGGAAAAATATCTATCAGCATATAAAGAAAATATTCAGGTGGGACGGTAGCCTGGTGGGTTGACGTTGGTGGTTTGCTTCACTCACTCAATCAACCTCTCTATGAACCGGTGGTTCAAACCGCAAGGACGATTTCACTTCCTATCGTCACACGTTGAAAGTTAAGACCTCGTCAGTCCTTAGCTCGCACAAGTTTCGACTTTTGAGAGTTATCGTTCGTAGGAAGGCGACAGCTGGTTAACGGAAAAATAGATTTATTTTAACATATTATGTTTGCCGCAAGACAAGTGTTTTAAGGCAAAACATTGATGTCAGCCAGTGAAGATGATGACCGAGTTCCATGTAAGTGAAATTTTTACCTTTCATTTAGTATATTGTGTAGGAATGCTGTTGAGTGATATCTGATTCAATTCCATAATGGTTGTTTGGAATACAAACTGAATGAAGAAAAAAGTTTTTTGTATAATTCAACGTTCATATAAAAGTACCTATTTGTTTCGAAAGAATGTTTCTTTCATGTAATTCAATGTTTATATGAAAGTATCTGTTTCAGGAGGGCTTTTTCTTCCAGTTTGTGTCTGAAAGTTCCTTTTTTGAATGATCTACATCTACACATATATGTATGGAGTTTGTTATGGTATATATTTTATTGCAATCCTCAATTTGTACAATTTAAAAGTCAAATGCACAAATTCCGAATACGTAGAGATTCTCATTTATGTTATTCACAACACAATCCTGAAAAAATTATTCAATTTCACTACTTAAAATTAATAAAAATTCAACAATCTTTTGTGGTTTCAGATTTCAACCCAAATGAAAAACAAAACATGCTCAATATTCAAATATTTTTATGACAGTAAATAATCAATTAGCATTGGTTTCAAGGACCACCCTTCTGTTTCTTCATGTCATTTGGTTTTTAGAGTACTCTCACAGATTTAAGAGAACAACAAAGATTTTGATAAACAAATTTATTTAAAAATGCATAAAAAATTAACATAACTTGGAAACATCTAGTAGCAAAAATAATACTCAAAAAAGTCTTTTCAAAGTAAATGTGAACTATTCTACATTTAATTATACAGCCTTGGTTTATTTCTTCTCATCAACCTCCATCTTGTCTCCCTTTTTCTCACTAGATTTAGCCGGTTTACCAGTTTGCGAAATGGGAATGGATCTATGTTCTACCTTTTCACCAGTCGTAGGAGCAGTAATGGTCAAAACACCATCAGAGGAAAGTTTGGATTCAATACGTCCAATATCACACTGCTTTGGAAGGACGTATTTTCTTACGAAGTGTCTATAAATTTGGCCATGCTCATCTTGCTTTTCCTCGTGTTTAGCCTCAATCGTGATGGTGTTATCCCCAGTTACCTTTACTGAAATTTCTTCGGGTTTGAAATGTTGAACATCAAAGTTTGCTTGGAATTTGTCCTTGTCGAAACTAACTGACGATCCGGCGTCTTGTTGAAGGGCGGCACTGAGATTTCTCAAATCTCTCAAGTAATCTGGATACTGCAGCATCGATCTGGAAATGGGAAGAGGGCGGAAAAAATCGTCATCTGTCAGGATCCCCAAATTTCTTTGGCGGGGTCTCCACATGTCGGGTTCGTCAAAAATCAAATATGGTAGTAAAGACATCACGTTTCAATGATTTGAAATATTATGTCGATATCAACACTTGCAGTAAACAACTTTTAGTACTTTTCAAATTGTACTTCACCTCACTTCTCCACTCAAATAATATAACTGACTCGGCAAACTTCGCCGACGGATTATATACTGCTATTGGCGGACTCTAGATTGTTCGTGAAAGATTTGAATCTTATTGGCTGTCAAGCTGCCGCTTCTAGATGTTTCGTTTATGTTCGGAGGAGGATCGAGAACCAACCAGTCATCGGATATGAACTCTGGGAATATAACTATGGTTTAAGAAGATGAATAAAGAAACTTGTTTGCATGGAAAGGGGTATATTTTTAGGAAAAGATAACTTTTAGAAAAGAAATGTTTTGGCTTTCTACTTCTCCATATTTGTACAAAAAATGTAAATGAGAATCTTCCAAAGGGCGGAAGAAAACAATTACACTATACAACTCGGTAAGTCGAAAAATGTTTTTTCCCACAGTAAATTGTTGGATATCTTAATTGGTGAATATCACTTGAACCATCCATTATTTCCATTTATCAAAATTTCTGAGTATACGTAGATTTCAGTAAGTACCCTTTTTATATATGAGGATTGGTTTAGTGAGTAACAAATTTCGAAAGATTCGACAGTTTTTTTATATTGTTTTATCTGAATCATGAATATATCTGAAAGTGAAAAATTAATTAGTCACCGAAACTGCGTTTCCAAGAAGTACTGCTTACACATCTAAGTATCTAACGTAAAAATATAATTCATCATAATTCACTTATCTTTATTACATTGCTTTTCTGAACTGCTAATCCATCTCCATTTAGGACAGTGACGTTTGCGAAAGACCAGACCTTTATATTTACCTTATAAATGTCAAATCCGTTCAACTCAGAAAAATATCCTTCTGTATTGAAAAAAGGGCATTGAAAAAAAGTCTTTGAAAAAAAAAGTCCAACTTTGAATTTACCTGCATCATTACTGAAGAGAAATATTAAGTCAGGTCATTAAACCCGAGATGACCTGATCGAAACCACAAAGTGCGGCTGACTTCTGTTGATGACTGATATTGTTAATATGTTATTTTGTAATTGCAAAAAGGGATGCATGCGGAAGCCGAAAAAGTGGATTAGGTATACTGTTAAACTGTAGCATGCCTACAGTGCAACGGCAACAGACGTTTAAATACTGCGCCAATGATTCGAATAGATGAAATAGAGGACGATATTCAGTAAGTTTCAAAAAGTTTGCACCATATAGGATTTTTTATTATTATTCATTTGTTAGAACAGTTTATTCTTGCTAAAATTGGTGCATTGCGGGAAACTTGGATGTGAGTTGACAAAATTCTAAATTTCCGAACGGGGTACAGGGAAAAAAAAAATAGAAATTTTGATCAAGAGTAAACTACCCTTATTTTCGACATTTTTGTCGTTATTCACTTAGAAAAGTTGTTTAAATTTGAAAACAATATTCAGATTTGAAATCACACCCACCTACGTAACAAAACAAAAAAAATATATTTTATGGTTCTAGCTAGCCTCTTAAAAGAGTACTAGTATCTCATATATACCTTAGGCGCCTCCCTCATATTACTATTATAATATTTCAATGCGAAATTAAGTCAAATTTATTATTCGAACTAGTACCTATATCGATGTTTGTTGAAAATAGTTTAAACTTTTACTAGTTTTTTTAGTGCAAAATTGATATTTCACTCTGTATGTGTCAATAATAACTATCAGTATGATTTAATGATAAGAAATAATGACTAAATTTATGAATCTAAACAATTGAGTAATACAAATCGGTAAGTTTACGGTCACTTTAATTATGGTATTACCTCAAAGGTTAGTCCTAATTTACATATGTATTGAACATAAATAAAAACCAAATTACAAAAACGTTGAGAAACTTGAATAATGAATCAGTAAATCCTTCAATTTCCACTTGTCTTCTTTCCATCGCTAAACATTTTATTGTTCGTGCACAAAATTCTTTATTGACATTTTCTAAAAAAGATTTCGGTATACTGGCACAACACTGCCTAATAACATTTTATAATCCATCGATATTTTGAAATGGTCTTCAAGCATACACCTTCTCCTTAAGGTATCCCCATAGAAAAAAATCTAAAGGAGTGAGATCGGGAGTCCTTGCTGGCCATGGATTTATCGAGTATCTACCAATCCATTTACTCTCAAATTTGCCATCAAGATATTCTTTAATTAATGTCGTACCATGACACGACGCTCCGTCAAGCTGGAACCATAGCCGTTCTCTTTCTTGTTGTGAGAATTGATCAACAATTGGCTCTATCTCAATCATCAAAAAATGTAAGAACATTTCACTGTTCATACTGTCACGGAAAAATAATGGACCAGCATTTAATTTGTTATTGAAAATGCCTTACCAGACGTTTGTTTTAAAGGAATAATGGTTCTTGCATTCTCTTTTAAAATTTGGGTTTTCGTCGGCCCACCACCGGCAATTTTGCCAACTTACCGCTCCATTTGCGGTGAAACATGCCTCATCAGAAAACAACACATATTTGGAAAACTGTCTACATTCTTCTGTCTCTCCTTGTACCCACCCTCAGAATTCAAATCTTCGATCGTATTCTCCTTCTTTCATCGTATGTATAAATTTGGGTTTTGATAATATTCTTTGTGCTGATGTTTTACTTAGGCCTGTTATGGATGATACAGCAGCAAGACTAGGTACTTCTCGGATTCTCAGTTACTGTTAATAATACATTTTGTTGTAATTAATTGTTCCCAGTTACCCATTTAGGATGTTTTTTGATAAATTTGTTGTCCACAGATCCCGTGGCCAAAAATTTTTGATAAATCCTCCCTACAGTTGTGTTACATGACGTAGATTAAATATTTCTGCTATTTCTCTGTTTGTTCTATTTTCCCAATGAATTAGAGTCATTTCAATTTTGTCATTTGCACTCAGCATTGTGAATAAATTTATAAGGACAAATCTCTAATTAGGTAATAAATTTCACGATGCTAATACTCACAGTTTAGAAACGCAAAATTATTTACTTCTTATAATATCAAAAAGTCAAAGGTAATGTGATTTTAATAATTCATAGACTAATTTTCAATGTGAAATATGAAATTCTTCCTAATCCATACACGATAAACGTTAATATGTACTGTTTTGGAAAAAAATACTTTTTTCAAGAAAAAAGTGTATGCTGAAAGACCATTTCAAAATATTAATGGATTAGAAAATGTTATTAGGCAGTGTTGTACCGAAATCTATTTTAGAAAATGTCAATAAAGAATTTTGTGCACGAACAATAAATTGTTTAACGATGGAAGGAAGACATGTGGAAATTTAAGGATTCAGTGATTCATTATTCAGGTTCCTGAATGTTTTTGTAATTTGTTTTTTTATTTATGTTCAATACATATGTAAATTAGGACTACCCACAATAAACCCTTGCAGGTTGTGGAGGAGGGCCGCCTAACCCTTTGTGGTGACACTATGATTAAAGTGATCGTAAACTTACAGAGGTTTTAATTAATTGTTTAGCATTAATTAATTTAGTCAATTATTTCTTGTCATTTTATCATACTGATAGTTATTATGGACATACATACAGAGTGAAATATCAATTTTGCACCAAAAAACTAGTAAAAATTCAAACCATCTTCAACAAACGTCGATATACTAGTTCGAATAATAAACTGGACTGAATTTCGCATCGAAATATTATTATGGTAATATGAGGGAGGCGCCTAAGGTGTATATAAGATACTAGTACTCTTTTAAGAGGCTAGCTAGAACCATAATTTTTTTTTTGTTTTGTTCGGTAGGAGGATGTGACTTCAAATCTGTATATTGTTTTCAAATTTGAACAACTTTTCTAAAAAAATTTTAATAATGTCGAAAATAAGGGTAGTTTACTTCTGAATAAAATTTCTATTTTTTGTTCTCTCCTCCATTTAGAATTTTGACAACTCGAATCCAAGTTTCCCGTAATGCACCAATTTTTATCATGATTGAAATTTTCTGACAAATGGATACTAAAAAAAGTTACCCATACGATGCAAACTTTTTGAAACAAATTGTATGATATTTTTAAAAATGTAAACTTTTAAAATCCTTTTTTTAATAGCATTGAGTTTTTAGGGTATAGGTACTACCACAGATTTAAGAGGACAACAAAGATTTTGATGAACAAATTTATTAAAAAATGTATAAAAAATTAACATAACTTGAAAACATTGAATAGCGAAAATAATACACAAAACAGTCTTTTCAAAGTAAATGTGGATTATTCTACATTTAATTATACAGCCTTGCTTTATTTCTTCTCATCAACCTCCATCTTGTTTTTCTTTTTCTCAATAGATTTAGCTGGTTTACCAGTTTGCGAAATCGGAATGGATCTATGTTCTACCTTTTCACCAGTGGTTGGAGCAGTAATGGTCAAAACACCATCAGAGGAAAGTTTGGATTCAATACGTCCAATGTCGCACTGCTTTGGAAGGACATATTTTCTTACGAAGTGTCTATAAATTTGGCCATGCTCATCTTGCTTTTCCTCGTGTTTAGCCTCAATCGTGATGGTGTTATCCCCAGTAACCTTTACTGAAATTTCTTCAGGTTGGAAATGTTGAACGTCAAAGTTTGCTTGAAATGTATCCTTGTCAAAACTAACAGACGATGCAGCTTCTTGTTGAAGAGCGGTACTAAGATTCCTCAAATCCCTCAAGTAATCCGGAAACCCTAACAATGATCTGGAAATGGACAGAGGTCGGAAAAAATCGTCATCTGTCAGGACCCCCAAATTTCTTTGACGAGTTCTCCACGTGCCGGGTTCGTCGAAAAACAAATACGGTAGTGAATACATCACGTTTGAATGATTCGAAGTATATATCGGTTTCAACACTTAAACTGAACACGTTTTTATCACTTGGTGTTCTGCAGCTTCCCCTTATTGAAGAAAACTCAACTACCAAATATAACAAACTGTCTAGCCAATTTCCTCGACAGCTTATATACTACTATTGGCGGTTTCTCGATTGTTCCCGACAGATTTGAATTTCATTGGCTGATATGTTGCCGCTTCTCGATGTTTCGTATATATTCGGAGAACGATCTAGAATAGTTCGCAACTGATCATCGGATATGAACTGTGGTCGGTTCGAAGGTGGGAATTTTCAACAGCTAATTAAAAATAGAAATGGTACTTGGAAAAAATATTTCCTTCAAAGCGATGAAATGATGAGAAAATTAAAGGCTAGGTCGCCATTACATAGTTTAACAGAGATAAAACAGTTCTTTCAAACATAGATAAAATTGATAAATATAAAACTGACAGTTATGAAACTAATAACTATATGTCATTAAAAATGATTCAATATGAGTTGCATTGAGCTAATAATATTCCAAGAAACGATGTTAACCAATATCACTCGTTCTTAAAAAAAAAATTCAGATGAATGTCCATTTTTTTTAAACTGTAATTTAATTTTTGAGAAATACTAATAAAGTCATCAGAAATAAATAACACCACCAGTTCGTAGAACGCTAGCTGCTCTCATTTCATAAAAATGACATCAGTTTCGATAATTTCTTTCATAGAAAACCATCGCATGTAATAATTATCGATGCAAAATATGTCTTCATATTTATTTAATATTTTTATATTGATTAATATGTTATAGAAAGTTACTGTTTTCTGGAGATTCAACTTTGATATATTTCAATAAAGATTTACAAGTAATTTAACAACGAATAATTTGCTGAAGAGAGTCCACCTTCGCATCGTTTATACATACTTATAATTACATACAGTGCATTTCTTTAAAGCCCTCCCTTTTATTTTTTCAACGGGTAAACTCAAAAAATTGAAATTTGGGATAATGAAATTAACGCATGAATACTTCATTTTGAAGTGAAATTGACAGACGAAACTTTCAAGATGGTAACTGGGCGCCAATTAAATGGAAAGGGGGGTCTTGTGACACATCTTTTTGAAGCTCCTGACAAATCCTTCACAACCCTAGAATATATTGTCAATATCTTCGACTACTACAAAATGGCGGAACTTTTAATAATTGCCTGAATACATTGACATTTAACTACATAATATGAGGAAATGAGCTTGAGGTCAGTTCAGAAGATGCTCGAAATGGTTCCCTTGAACTTCTTGACATATAAACAGACATATAAACAGCCTATCCGATATTTCACGCCGAACGTTTTCTAACACAGTACCTAACGTCAATATCTCTACAAATATTTATTATTCTCTGCCGTATATCCAATATTGAAGCAGGTTCGGTTTCGTACACCTTTTGCTTCAAATGGCCACATAAAAAAAGTCCAAAGGTGTCAAATCTGACGAGCGGGTTGGCCATTCTGTAGAACCTCGACGGCCAATCCAACGACCAGGAAAAGTAGTATCCAAATAGTTTTTTACTTATCTGGAGTAATGTGGTGGTGCTCCATCTTGTTGGTTTGCAATATCTTTATCGAATTCATTAGGATTTGCTTCGACGATTTCAGTGATGAGACGGTCAACAGTAGTTTCCAGCATATTCAAACAGTTCCTGTTAAATTTTGATCAATAAGTAGAGGTCCTACAATATGGTTTCCCAATATTCCTGTCCAAACGTTAATTTTTTCTGGATATTGGGTATGTGTTTCCCGGAAAACGTGAATGTTGGTGTCACTCTAATAACGGCAATTTTGTCTGTGAACATCGCCGTTTAAAAAAAATATACATTCGTTATTAAAACAAATATTGTGGAGATAGGTAGGATGCCTTGCGATGGTTTCCGTCATGATTTCACAGAATTCTGTTCTTCGATCAGGGTCATCTTCAGTTAATTGGTGTACCATTTTAATTTCGTATGGATGATACCTATTCCTCTTCAAAAGTCTCCACACAGTAAAAGGAGACACCTCACAAACATTCGCGACAGAATGAGTCGACTTCAGGATTTACTACCATCTCACCAATTATTTGCACTTGCTGTTCTTCCGGAATGGACGGATAATCTGGGGACTTTTTTCTACAGATAGGACGAAACGAAAAACGTTCATTGAAAATCCTTTCGCTCCGTAAATAAAAATTGCTTGAATTTTATTTTACAATGGACGATAATTGACCATTTCAGAGATTGTTGACGTGGTACCTTCCTACTAGTAAAACCGAAAATTAAATGAGAATATTCTAACTGAACAATTCTATTGACATTTTTTGCCGTTTTTATAAACAAAAATTAACTTAACAAACCTTATCAGGTTGTTGGAATTGCCATATGGCAGATAAAAAGGAATATTTCTAGAAATATCGATATTAATGTGTTTATCTTCAGGAAATTATTAAATGTTCCACCATTTCGTAGTAGGTGAAGATATTGACTTCATATTCTAGAGTTGTGAAGTATTCGTCAGGAGCTTCAAAATTATGTGTCACAAGACCCCCTTTTCCATTTATTTTTTTTTTCCCGATGGAGCCCAGTCACCATCTTGAAAGTTTCATCTGTCAATTTCACTTCAAAATAAAGTATCCATGCATTGATTTCATTACCCCAAATTTCAACTTTTTGAGTTGACCCGTTCAAAAAATAAAAGGTTGGGGGGCATTAAAGAAATGCACATAGTATGGTCTTGTCCGCAGTCAATGAAGCAACCACAACAACAGATGAAATACGATTATAAATTTGAGATAGATCACGAAACTATCTGAACAAATTTTCATCTAATTTTTTTTCTTGTGGTTTTATCGTTTCGGTAATTTTTATAGCAGTCCTCATTTGATTGTATATTTGGGTTTGCATAGATTGTAATAACTAGTAGGTATAAAGGATTATAACAGAGCTAATATTATAACAGGTGCTAATATGATAACATTTAGAAATCTGTTATTGTCAGAAGAGTGGTACGATACTTATAACTCTAGTACGGTTGATGAAGCTTTCAATAACTTCTATGCCACTTACGAATATAATTTCCAAATGGCTTTTCCTCTAAAACGTAAATTCCTTAAAAACCGTAAGAAGCCTTGGTTTACTTCAGAAATAAAAGAGCTCCATCAAACTTTATGTGAAATGGCTAAAGTTGCAAAAATTACTAATATTGATGTTATTCGAGAACGGTACAGAAATTTAAAAGTTATTTATAGACATAAGGTACGGCAAGCTAAATTGGAATATAATGATGCAAGACTTGTTGAGACCAGTAATATATCTAAAGAAAGCTGGCAAATAATTAATGAAGCAAAAGACAACACAATATCTGTTACACCATTGCAAATAAATATAGAAGATAAACTTGAAAATGATAAATTCAAAATANTACACGCAACGCTAATTGTATACGTTTGCCATTCTCTCGCTTATCACTGGGACAGAATTCATATATGTATCAGGGAATTATTTGCTATAATCACACAGTCACACTAATGGGTGAAATTGAGAGCTTTAAATTATTTAAATCAAAATTGTTTGATCTTTTATGTTCAAATGCCTTTTATTCAATGGACGAGTTCTTAGCATTCTGTTCATAGTATATATAAATTGGTATAGGGTAGCTTATGCTTTTATTTTTATACTAATTGTATTTGTTGTATGTCTGACTAGTCCGATAAGTTTTAGGGAGACAAGTTTATATGCTGTATCTTGTAAAACTTCAGTGATGAATAAACATATCTATCTATCTATCTATCTATCTATCTAATCTTTCATAAAAGCAGATTACGAGTAAACTCGATATTACACTTCATAATGGAATAACTTTTTAGCTTTTGGACTATTTTGGAGGAATATCACCCGATTTATACATGGGCATATGTTGGGTTTTTGGTTACAAACATTTTAGGTAAACTTGGAACTGTTTTCTCATTCCAAAAAACTTCTAGACAAAATCAAAACACTTAAATCGTGAAATGTTTTTTATCTCATATTAGTTAACACAGCCAAAAGTTTTCTGACATCCTTTTGCCTGGAGTTATCTTCAATATTTCTTCATTTTCGGTGAACTTTTTTCCTCCATTTTCAATGGCCCTTTGATTCACTTGTTATGCTCAAATTCAGCTACATTATGGTATACGTTGAAAGATTGATAAGAAAAATGTTTAACTTATGTAACTTTGTATGTTATAGGTGTTCTTATAATTTTACAGTATACCTTGATTAAAAATGTCGAAAACTTATACGAGTGACTTATTTGAACTTTTCCCTATATCTGCATGATGTTTCATGTTGTATATGGCGTGTCAATTTGAGATATATATTTATTTCTCAACTATTTTTAACAGGTGTATTTTATTATTCATCTATGTTGTATTAGTTTAGCCTTGTATAACAAGTTAGTTGTTAACTGTCAAAGGGAGAACTAGAGACGTCATAAAAATGTTTTGGCATTTTCTTGACAAATACAGAAAAAAAAATACAAAAAAATGCGGTCTTCCGACGGGCGTTTCGCTAACCAAGTTAGCATCATCAGGAATTGACTAGAAATATTTCTTACAAGCTATTCTAATGTTTCCATATGCATCTAGAAGAACCATTACCTTGCATTGAGGCTTTTTAAATTGATTCCTCATATATGTTGTCCTATTATTATTGACTA